ACATTTTTTTTTTTTTTTTATTATTTTTTTTAAACAAAAAATTTTTTTTTTTTTTTTTTTTTTTTTTATGTCTAGTATTTTGATACAATAATAATGTTTGAGATTGAGTAACGATCGTTGGCATTCATATTTGAATGATCCATGGTATAAATCGATTTTCTTCGTAGCACTTGGTATCTGAAGTACGATGAAAAATATTCACAAATGTTGTCACAATTTAACTGTCTTAAACTATCCTTTAAACAGGTATTCCAAGTCACAAAATAATATTAAACTATAAAACCTCATTTCGATGTGGCAGCAGAACACTGTTACATACCTCAAAATATAATTAGCACAGGACGTCTCGAAATTTGACAATTTGAGCTTTCCTACAACTTGGTGCTCGTAACTCTCGGAACGCACAAAATACATTCATTCAAAGTAACTAATGCAAATACCTATCGAAGTACGTAATTGAAGATATCAGTACTGATCGATAACAACAGTCGTACATCTACGTTCTGGTGGGGTATTGAATACTAGTTAGAAGCATTTTAAATTTTGTACACGATTCTCCTACGATCTACCGAAGAAAGTAGAAGATTCACACGCTATCATTATAGTCTTCCTTATTACACGTTATTCCGCAAATCCATACGCACCATGTGTGCCGACAAGATACTTCCGCAACCGTCCGTGTATAATTCCTTCAAGGGTTCCGTTCATTATTAATTCTTCTTTTCCTCGAGAGATTGGAAGAATATGTTCCCCTTACAGTCTGTTCGCTGTGCACCGAGTCAATCAAATGTTCCGATCACGAAGCTCGTTTTAGTTATCCGTCTTGTTAACCGTTGACACAACCTCTCGTAGAAATTCAATTGCACACAATATTCATTTCGACTCGCGTTACAATGTTCGGAAACGTGACTCCAGAGACGGCGATTACGTTCGTTCGATTTAGCATTAGTTTGATCTGCTGCTGGCCGCTACCAGCGGTGGCAACGAAAACTCAAGTGTTGTGTTTCAAAATATCGAAAGTGTTGAATATTCTTAGCGTGCTTGGATTATTCTTTCCATTGTTGTATGCACTAATTCTTCACCGCGACGACGCTGTCGAATTAACGAAGATAGCCATCACTGGAGTGGGTTGTTTCAACGTTGTAACACAGATAGTGCTTTGTAGCGTTCAGTACGATCGCTTTCAGGTAAGAATAGCGAAGTTCATTTTACGGTTTGTTTTTGGCGACGAACGTATTTGGTAAACACGTGGTATATTGCTGAAGTTTTTGAAAGTGGATGTCATGACGACAATACTACCCACTGTCCACATGGGTATCTTTTTGTATCGATTTGCATCTACGTTGCATATTCGCTGCACATCACACCTACATATATTTTCGCAGTCTAATTACAACTTTCGAGAACGATGCATTTGTAATCGAATGACACGTATTCCGATTAACGAGACATTAAAAAACATGGACTGATCAAAAGATTAATGTCCGATGTATAATGTAATGTNTACGATCTACCGAAGAAAGTAGAAGATTCACACGCTATCATTATAGTCTTCCTTATTACACGTTATTCCGCAAATCCATACGCACCATGTGTGCCGACAAGATACTTCCGCAACCGTCCGTGTATAATTCCTTCAAGGGTTCCGTTCATTATTAATTCTTCTTTTCCTCGAGAGATTGGAAGAATATGTTCCCCTTACAGTCTGTTCGCTGTGCACCGAGTCAATCAAATGTTCCGATCACGAAGCTCGTTTTAGTTATCCGTCTTGTTAACCGTTGACACAACCTCTCGTAGAAATTCAATTGCACACAATATTCATTTCGACTCGCGTTACAATGTTCGGAAACGTGACTCCAGAGACGGCGATTACGTTCGTTCGATTTAGCATTAGTTTGATCTGCTGCTGGCCGCTACCAGCGGTGGCAACGAAAACTCAAGTGTTGTGTTTCAAAATATCGAAAGTGTTGAATATTCTTAGCGTGCTTGGATTATTCTTTCCATTGTTGTATGCACTAATTCTTCACCGCGACGACGCTGTCGAATTAACGAAGATAGCCATCACTGGAGTGGGTTGTTTCAACGTTGTAACACAGATAGTGCTTTGTAGCGTTCAGTACGATCGCTTTCAGGTAAGAATAGCGAAGTTCATTTTACGGTTTGTTTTTGGCGACGAACGTATTTGGTAAACACGTGGTATATTGCTGAAGTTTTTGAAAGTGGATGTCATGACGACAATACTACCCACTGTCCACATGGGTATCTTTTTGTATCGATTTGCATCTACGTTGCATATTCGCTGCACATCACACCTACATATATTTTCGCAGTCTAATTACAACTTTCGAGAACGATGCATTTGTAATCGAATGACACGTATTCCGATTAACGAGACATTAAAAAACATGGACTGATCAAAAGATTAATGTCCGATGTATAATGTAATGTGTAACGTAAATACGTTCGTTTCATTTATGTATGTATTTTATGTATCATCTTTAAAAGCTCACTTAGAAGACAATACAAATGTGCATACTAGTGATTGCGAAATCAATAAATTGTTCCTGTTCTGTTTGACAAACGCGTTATCTTTAATAAAAAGATATATCGAAAGTAGGTGATCTATATAAGTTACGATAAAATATGTTCAGCTCTCGGGCATAGATTAGGTCAGAGTATGGTAGCAGTTAATTGTGAAAGAAGAAGCACGAAGTACTTGGGAAGAAACATAATTTTTCTGACATATTCCAGCGTTTGGTCGAAACAATAACAGCTAACTTCCAGAACGCAAATTTCTGCGAAAAATGCGTGTATCAACGATACGTCGACACGTACTCAATGTTTTACGGGCTAGCAGTGCTATGGATTTACACAATAGCAGTGGTTTTCATTTTCGGAAGTATTTTCCTACCTCAGCCATTTCCGTTAGTCACCGAGTATCCGTTCCGCGTAGATTACGAACCCGTGAGGACTATAATCTTTGTACACCAGGCCTTTTTCAGCTTCCAATGCTCCGCTGCGATCAGCTTAAACATGTTCGCAGCACTGTTACTTCTGTACGCTTCGGCGAAGTTCGAGATTCTGATGATAGATATGCGAAAAGCTACCAGTGTCGATGCGTTGGTCGAGTGTCTGGAAAAGTATCACGTGGTGACCAGGTAAGTGAATTTTTTTGATTTTCATCCCTAGAAACATGTGACACTGTGAAATTGTGCCAACTTTATATAGAATCGCAAAGGATGTCGTCGAGGGTACTCAATACATAGCTTTGTTCTCGGTACTGTATAGCAGTATTGCCGTTGTATTTTGCGGGCTAAATATTATAGGAGTGAGTACCATGAAGCAACTACGACAGGTTTCAGTAGTGAAATAAATGCTAGCATAAACGGTATTTTAGCGACAAGCCATCGTGATAAAACTACAGTTTTTATTCTTGGCTTGGATGTCACTGATGGAGGTTTTCATGTGCGTATTGCCAGCCGATAATTTGATAAATATGGTGAGTTATGTCAATAGTTATGTCATTATGAGCAGATGTTAATAGTTATCAGTGGTACATGCAGGATGTCCCAAAAATGTCTCGTAATGCGGAAATGGCGGGCTCCTGAGGTAATCTGAAGTAACTTTTTCCTTAGCGAAAATGCAATCCGCGGCTTCGTTTACGAGTTATTAACGAAAAACGCCGACCAATGAGAGGCGAGCTCGGCGCTGGCGCGAGGCGGCCGAGTCAATGAGCGAAACTGGGTTTCGTGCGCTCGTTAGCTAGACCGCCTCGCGCCAGCCGAGCTTGCCTCTTATTCGGCAGTGATTTTTGTTAATAACTCGGAAACAAAGCCGCGGATTGCATTTTCGCTGAGGAAAAAGTTACTTCAAATGACCTCAGGAACCCCTCATTTCCGGATTGCGAGACATTTTTGGGACGCCCTGTATATTGTACGAAGATTTTTCATGTTTTTACGATTCACTTTCTTCTTTCATACGATCCTGTGTGAATTGGTTACAATTAGAGTGAGAATACTGTTCGAAGTGTGTACGAATCGAAATGGTACGACCAAATACTGGATGTACAGAAGACAGTACTCCGCATGTTGGTGCCGCAGTTACCCGTAGCCATCAGCATAAAGTGCATCATCCCGATACTTTCCTTGGAATATTTCTGCTCGGTATTACTTTATTTTGTATTCGTATTTATTAGATCGTTTATACAAAATGTCAGATCATTCACGAAGGAAGAAAATTGGTTTTTAACATTCAAATAAAGTTGCATTTGTCAAAGTATGCACCGTTTTCTCGTAGGGAGTTTTGCAAACTCGGTTCTAACAAATAAATGTACCTAGACAAGATATATTTTAGCTTAGTTTAATAACGATACTGAAATAATTTCAAAATCTGACATTTCATATCTCGAGGGTCGATAATCCATCTACATTTTTTCTCATTATAATACGTGAATATTAATTGTTCTACTCCAGTACATATCACACGCAGTCTCGTTGTTCACTGCCCTACGTATGGTATTGATGGAAGAGGCCGACATATTAGGGTCCAGGTCAACTAATAGTACATGTTGACTAGAATAATTGAAAGTTATATTCTGGAATAAAGATATATTCTAGTTATATTCTGGAATAAAGATATTGTTGATTAATACAAATTACTTTCCGTTTCAAGGAATAGATAGGAAATAGTTATTGGCCACTTTCAATGACCTTAACTTTGATAAATGTTGTCCATATCTACCTTTTTATGACCTTTAAATCGTTTTCGTCATCGCTTACTCTAAATAGTCAATCACAAAATAATTATTTGTGGAGAGAATGTTTTTTGTCACTACCATGTACGAAATCATTTAATCAGTCCTTTGAACTATTCGACTAATTTCGTTGTTCCTGAATGCAGAGTTAATTTCCAAAATATTGTTTGGAAACATGCTTCTGTGCTTTTCTCATTATTCGTTTTTATGCAGTATTCTTACTTCTTGTACTGTTTCAACATCTGTTTCCGCAAACGAATTACTTGTATTCCACGTTCTATATTTTGTTAATGATGCTTTTAATCTCTGTACACTTTTCCATTTTCCCCATACATCATTGAAAATTATAGGTTCTCATAAATTTATTAAATACACTTACTTTCGATTCTTATTCCTTACTTAATTTTAATTTTACTCTAGGTAAATTTACGAAGGGAAGCCAACGGCATTAGCATCGTAATTTAATTATTCATGCAGCAGTATATAATTTCCTAGTTGTGTTTTTTAATTACCATTACGAACTACGATGCGAAGCATTTGATAGAAGCGGCAAGTATAATACTAACGTCTGCGCCACTTTTTAACATTCGTGCGTGCTTCCGAAGATCTGTTATACGTTTCAGCTTAATTAATATCCTGTTTATACTTGTTTATATTCGTCCTTTTTGAAACGAATGCTACCATTACCTGAATATTTATTTATATACCACTTACTTTTATGTAAAAACGAACATCGTACTAGTAGTCGTAGCAGCACTTACACACACATACAACAATAAAACTGAATTTAACGCACCCACTTGACAAGCATTTTTTCTGCATAAGTAGTAGCTATCGTCAATGCACCGGAACTCGCGAAACAACAACGAAATAAGAAGTCTACCAACATTATTGACTCCCTGAGTACTACAAATACAACACAAAGATCTTAACCCCTTGACATATCATCTTGTTCGCAGTTACTGCGATCAGAAATTTCTCGATTGCAATAATTTCTTAGAAGGAGAAGAAAATTGATGCTTATCGTGTGCCTAAATTTACTCGAATGCTCAAATATCGATGACAAGGGATTCAAATTTTATTCCAATTTTAAAGGACAGAACCATTGTTACACAGATCCCCTCCTACCAGAAAGTAGAAAGATATGAAGAAGCATTTGTCTTTTAACAATGATATCAACTCACCATTAAACTCGCCATTGCAAAAAATCTATCCGCATTAAAATAGCAGAGAAATGCCGAAAAGAATGGGCCACCGCAAACTCCACAAAAGCACACATAATGACATTGCATCACTGCAGATTTCTGTTTATGATACCAAACAATAGAAGAGACCGGGTTACACTGTTCAGTCTGAGAATCCTGTCGTACATGGGGAGTCTGTTCATGAGGAAAACGAAAGGAAAGGAGTAAGATAGAAGAATAAGAAATAAGAAGTTCCACAACGTATTTGAAAACGTTCATTGAAACATTGAAAGTAATCGATGCAAATACGTATCGAACAACGTGATTGAAGGTATCTGCGCAAATCGATACAAATAGTCGTACAATGTAACTCTGTCGGTGCATTAAATTCTAGTTACATGCATTTCAAATTGCGTACGCGAGATTCCTCACAGTCCAGCGAGTAAACTCGTAGACTCGCAGCTATCATTAGATAGCTATATCTACCCATCTACGTCTACCATTCAGACGAGATACTCCCGCAACCGGTCGTGTGTATAGTTTCTTCAAGTGCTGCGTTTATTATTCAATCTTTTCACCGCGCCGAAAGATTGGAAATAAAGTGTTTCCCTCAGAGTCCGTTCGCGGTGCATCGAGTCAACTAAATATTTCGCACGCGACTCGCGATTTTTTCTTTGGTTCAGTTGATAACGTGGAGCGCGTTTTTTTAACCGTGAACATAACGTTTCCTTCTTTCTTTCAATTTTTTCAATTTAAACACAGCGCCTTCGTTGTACACAAAATATCGAATTTGACTCGCGATACTGTTCGATAACGTTCTGATAATGTTCGAAAACGTGACTCCAGAGAAGGCGATCGCTTTCATCCGATTCAGCGTCTATTTGAACTGCGGCTGGCCGCTGTCGTCGGAGGCGACGAGAGCTCAGGCTTTTTGTTTCAGAATGTCGAAACTGTTCAATATTCTCAGCGTTCTCGGATTATTCTTTCCAGTATTGTACGCGATGATTCTTCACGGCGACGATGCCATCGAATTCTCGAAGGCTGCCATCATGTTAGTGGCTTGTATCCACATTATAACGCAGATAGTTGTTTGCAGCCTTCAGTATGATCGCTTTCAGGTAACAATTGGAGAGATTCGTTTTACGGTTTGTTTTCGCCGACGAATGTACAGTAATGTCTGTCTTAATTGACGCTCAGATTATCCACGAAATTGGACAATTCTTGGAAGAGGAGATACGATTATTCGAGCCTTATATTCACGAATTGTCAGGAGCATGTCAAGATTACGCAAGGCTCGAATAATCGTATCTCCTCTTCCCAAATTGTCCATTTTTTTTTTGCACAATCCGAGCGTCAGTTCAATCAGCTAACACACCATATCCGTAAACATCTCATAATTTATTTCTTGTATATGTGGCATTTTTGCCTTTGCAGTAATAAAAGTAACATTAAATGCCTAAAATGTACTTCATCTTCTTGCATCGTCGACAGGTTACAAAACTGACACAAATGAATTTATACTAACCAAACTTTTTTGTAATTATGGTTGAAATGTCATTTGTCGAAGTCTATATATACAAGTCATTTGGTCTTAACAACCACCTATCGAATATCAGCACGAATTTTCCGGTTGCACAATCCGAGCGTCAGTTCAATCAGCTAACACACCATATCCGTAAACATCTCATAATTTATTTCTTGTATATGTGGCATTTTTGCCTTTGCAGTAATAAAAGTAACATTAAATGCCTAAAATGTACTTCATCTTCTTGCATCGTCGACAGGTTACAAAACTGACACAAATGAATTTATACTAACCAAACTTTTTTGTAATTATGGTTGAAATGTCATTTGTCGAAGTCTATATATACAAGTCATTTGGTCTTAACAACCACCTATCGAATATCAGCACGAATTTTCCGGACAACACAATATTTTACGGTCAAGATTTAAAAGTTCACTTACGACATAATTCAAATTTGCATACCAGTGAGATTATAAAATCAGGAAAATGCTTGTCGTTGATAAAAGCATTCGCAAATATGTTGATAAAAAGAAATAATGAATGTAATTGATCTTATGTAGGTTGCAACTCAATATTTTAAGATTTAGGGCACAGATTAGAACACAATCCGACAGTAGCTAAAAGTGAAAGGGAACGCACCAAGAACTTGATTTGCAAAATAATTTGCACGACATATTACAGCGTTTGGTCGAAACAATAACAGCGAACTTCGAAAACGCAAATTTCTACGAGCGATACGTGTATCAACGATACGTCCACACGTACTCCAAGTTTTACGGGCTGACAGTCATATGGTACTACGTGTCACCGCTGGTTGTCGTTTTCGGAAGTATTTTATTACCTCAACCGTTTCCCGCAGTCTCCGAGTATCCGTTCCGCGTCGACTACGAACCCGTGAGGACTATAATCTTTATCCACCAAACGCTTGTCGGCTTCCAATGCTCCGCGTCGGTCAGCTTAAACATGTTCGCAGCGCTGTTAATTCTGTACGCTGCGGCGAGATTCGAGATTCTGACGATAGATCTGAGAGAAGCTGCCAGCGTCGATGCGTTGGTCGTGTGCGTGAAAAAGTATCACGCGGTGTCCAGGTAAGTCGGTTTTCGATTTTCGTCGCTATAATCTGTGACACGACGGAATTGTGTTTGTTTCACGTAGATTCGCGAAGGAAGTTGTCGAGACTACTCGGTACATAGCCTTGTACACAGTAGTGTATAGCAGTGTAATCCTTGTACTTTGTGGTCTAAATATTATAGGAGTGAGTACTTGAAACACCTACGACACGTTTCAGCGGTGAAATGAATGCTAGCATAAACGGTATTTTAGCGGCAATCCATCGTGATAAAACTGCAGTTTTTTGTCTTGGCTTGGATTGCACTCATGGAGGTTTTCATGTGCGTATTGCCAGCCGATAATTTGATTAATGTGGTGAGTTATGTCAATATTTATCTCATTATGAGCAGATGTTAATAGTTATCAGTGGTACATACAGCGTGTCTCAAAAATGTCTGGGAATCCGGAAATGGAGGGCTCCTGAGGCAATTTGAAGTAACTTTTTCCTTAGCGAAAATGCAATCCGTGGCTTTGTTTACGAGTTATTAGCGATAAACGCCGACCAATGAAATGCGAGCTCGGCGCTGGCGCGGGCGGCCGAGCCAATGAGCGGTTTCGTGCGCTCGTTAGCTAGACCGCCTCGCGCCAGCCGAGCTTGCCTCTTATTGGTCAGTGTTTTTCGTTAATAACTCGTAAACAAAACCGCGGATTGCATTTTCGCTAAGGAAAAAGTTACTTCAAATAACCTCAGGAACCCCTCATTTCCGTATTGCGAGACATTTTTGGGACACCCTGTATATTGTACGAAGATTTTTCATGTTTTTACGATTCACTTTCTTCTTTCATACGATCCTGTGTGAATTGGTTACAATTAGAGTGAGAATACTGTTCGAAGTGTGTACGAATCGAAATGGTACGACCAAATACTGGATGTACAGAAGACAGTACTCCGCATTTTGGTGCCACAGGGACCCGTAGCTATCAGCATAAAGTGCATCATCCCGATGCTTTCCTTGGAATATTTTTGCTCGGTATTACTTTCTTTTGTGTTCGTATTTATTAGAATCGTGAGTATAAAATGTCAGATTATTCCAGAAGAATGAAAATTGATTTTTGGCATGGAAATAAAATCGTATTTGTCAAAGCATGCACCGTTTTCTCGTAAGGAGTTTTGCAAACTCGGTTATGTCAAATCATTGTAAAATTATAACAAATAAGTGTACCTAGACTGGAGATTTTTATCCAAAACAGGAGAACTGTCGAAGACAATTTTAAGAAATAGGAGTTAAATTGCAAAGCATTTATCTTTTTGAGCTATTGCAGTAACAATATTCAAATAATTTCAAAATTTGACATTTCATATTCTACGGCTCAATAATCCATCGACGTTTGCTCTCATTATAATATCTGAATATTAATTGTTCCATTTTAGTATATTTCAAACGCAGTCTCGTTATTCACTGCCCTACGTATGGTGTTTGGCAATAACGACGATCTACCATTGCCAAGATCAACGAATAGTACATGTTGTCTTAATTAATTTCTCATAGCTGAGAAATATTCTGGAATAAAGAAACTGTTGCGTTATACACAATTCTTTCTTTTTCATAAAATATACCTCCTGACTACCGTGTGTCGGTAGTCGGTGCATATGAAGTTAAATATGTCCGGAACAAACCAAAAGCGCACCAACTGGTCACCCCACAGTAAACGGCTCCGTTACCCTATAGCAATTGCTTTCTTACATTTCAATTGTACCTATTAATTACACGGTGATCGAAGGGAGTTTTGTGCACGCAACTATTATTCTACCGCTACTCCGTTATTGCCTTTTCTATTATCCAGCTGCATACAAAAATGTTACTTCCTGCGCTGTTTCAACACCTGTTTCCGTAAGGAGGTAACTTGTAATTTCCATTCTTTTTTTTAATAATTGAAGCTTTTATTCTCTGATGACGTTTTTATTTAAATCGCGTAACATAGAAAACTATAAATTGTCACAGATTTACTAGATACATTGATTACCGATTTTTATACCATATTTAACATTAATTTGCACCATGTAAATGAAGTAACAAAGATGCAGACATTTAATTATTTACGCGCCGTTATGGTATTTCCTATTTGTTATCGTCATTAGCGCCGCTAACGATGAAATGAAACTAGGTTAACGTATGAATTACTGCTGTTTCAACTACTTACTGTGTCACTAGAGAATATCCTTTCTTCAAATAGCCAACACCATTGATAATGGCACTGACATTCCCTTTTCCGGTTGGGTTTGCTATTGCGAAGAGGTACATGTGCGCGTGGCCAGCGGGAACACTGGTGGATATGGTGGGTCAATATGGCATCTATGAATCAGAACTTGATCAATACGAGACAATAGAACAACAATTTGACCGACAAATTCATACTCTCTCATTTAACACGTCCACAAAGAAGTCAGAAAATTCGACATTCCATACGACACACGCGACATTACACATAAAACATGCTCCATCATGACTGTACCAAGATCAAACACACCTTGCAAAAACACGATCATTTTGGAGTCTAGTAATATTTTGTGTTCACTTTGAAGTGGCGTGTCCAATCATTCACCAACACTCGACAATGTTTATTTCAAGTGAACCACAACAACTCCAAACTTGCAAACACGATGAATGTCTTCCGACGAATTGCTTTCCCTATTTTCAGTCCTTTGAGCGTGTAGTATACGTCGATCATAATAAAAACACCTGCAGAATATTTCTCAGTTGTATATGCTCGTGAAATCTTGTTAAAAATGGTGCGAATTCACAAGGTAGCATATACAAATGATCGCGTGCGTATCGCGTACACGTCTAAACACAGAATATCAATTTTGAAATCAAATATGCTCCCGTCGATAGTAGATTACAGTCCGATAACTTGTAACAAACTATCAGGTTCGCGAGAAAAAGAAATCCAAGAATAATCGTTCCGCGGACGGAAAAGAAACTCTAAGGCTATCATCATGTAGTTCTAATTGTAAGAATCTTGCAACTCAGACAAGGTTACCGGTACGTAGCGTCTTAATTCGTTATTAATTCAATCGCCATGAACCTCCTCGGATTTCGCGGTGCTTCCCATTTTCTCGAGAGCAGTCGACGTTCCCTTCTTTTCGCTTTATGATGTTCGGAAACGCAACACCGAAAAAGGCTATCACCTTCACGAAATACAGCGTGAGTTTGTGCTGCGGATGGCCGCTCCCTTCGTCAGCGAGCAAGCGTCAATTTTACGGTTATCTATTCCTGAAAGTTGTGGGTGCTTTACTCACCGTCGCAGTGTTTTTGCCTGCGCTCTGGTCGCTTTATCTTCACATTGATGATCCAGTGGTCACCGGTAATACGTTCGGTCTCGCATGTGCTTTGCTTCAAAGCTTCGCAAATATAATCATCTGTACCATTCAGCACAATCGTTATCAGGTGAGACGTTTTAAATTTCGACTAATTTATCGTCGCAAGCACCCAAACGCGTTCGGAGGATTTAGAAATCCACCGTGCTCTAATAATTCTGAAATAACAAAATGCAGAATTACCTTCCGTGTTCATTACTTTTCTATCATGATCTTGCAATTATAGAATATGTTATGTATAACACTTATTATAATACGTGTCGTTCTACGGCATCTACAGTTATCCCATGTGTTTCAGCGACTGATCGAGGAAATGACGAATTATGTAGATAAGGCGGAGTCCCACGAAATGGCTATCTTCCAGCGATACGTGGACAAGTATTCTACATATCACGGGACATCCACATTATTCCCCTATTTTTGCGCGGCACTCATTGTGGTCGCAACCTTGTTCTTGGAACAGCCGTTCCCAGTGGTCTCCGAGTACCCATTCCGGGTCGATTACGAACCTGTCAGAACAATTATTTTTCTAAATCATTCTTTCGTCGCTTTACAAAGCGGCTCGAGTGTTAGTTTGAATACGCTAACAGCGTTGCTGCTTTTATTCGCTGCAGCACGATTCGACATATTGATGCTACATTTGGGAAAGGCTGTTACAGTCGCCGACTTAAAGGAATGCATGAAAATGTACGATGATGTGAAAAGGTGGGAACGTTAATCAAGTTACGAACATCCGTTTCTATGCAAATTTTCATTTTTATACTTGGTTTTATGGAAACTAAAACCAGGAAAAAATTGCTGTGTCTGGTTGAAAGATTTCTTGCGGTGAGAACAAAGAAAAATATTATTTATTTTTATTACAAATGAATATCATTTGTTTTAACCCGCACGATTCTGGTAGTTTAACAATCTACAATTGTTATAATTATATAAAGGTCTGCAATTGATCTATAACCAATATGAATTTTCTTTCGTGTACGAAATGCAGATTGAGTCACCTGACATTTGTATATGAAATATTTTTGTTGCTTTTAACATTTTGACCGCCACACCAATACCCCAAAAAAGGTCACATCCTTGAAGCATTTCATTTCATCATATTACGATTGGAAAGCAAAATTGTACGAATTCAATTCTTTAATTGTGTGAGTACTTCGAATAGTAATAATTTTGTCGATGTGGTGGAGTCATTTTTTACTCCAGTCAAATTTGAAACAATTTAAATAAATGGTTCCGTGTAAAAC